ATTAAAAATTATTATTTATTAAAATACTAAAGAAATTAATAACACAATTTCGCTAGAAGATTTTTATTTTTTTTCTGAACTGCCTTTTGCAGACTTTCGCCTGCATGGAAGAGGTGGACATACTGTAATGGTTTGAAAATCGCAAATAATGATACATGGAATCAAGTTATTAGTAACATGAAAAAAATTGATCCTATAATTTTAGAATGTCTAGCTTATGTTGAAAATTCTAAAATACTAATGCTTTATTTGGACACACAATTGTTTGAATTTATGTTTAATGTAGCTTATCACTCTAAACCACCAGAGCGAGTTCGAGCCTTAACTGCTTATATTGTCCTTTTTATTTTTGCGAAAAATACAAATATACTTGAAGACATATTAAATAATTTCAAATACATTGTACATGGGTAACAATATTATTTCATAAAAATATATATACAGAGATTCGTAAATTTGTTGTTATTAATTATAAATATTAATTAATTCTAAATGTATTGTTTTGTTAAAATAGGAGAATCAGTGAGATTGCCGCATTAACTGTTATGATTAATAATGTGTATTCTAAGAAACAGTTGGAAGAGGTAATTTTAATGAATAAAAGTTCCGTACTTATTTGTTATTTATTATAAAATTGTTATAATATTAATTATAAAATTGTATATTAATTATAAAATTGTATTTTTCGAATACATAGTGTTTTAGAGTCGTGTTACAAATTCTTATAGTAGAGAGGTTAAAATTAAGCATTTTTTAATAATTAATTTAGATTCACAAATTCAGAATTTCAATGCGACTCTCTAGAAATGATACTTCCACACAGTCTAGGACTTTAATAGATGCTCAATAGAATCAATAGAAACATGATCCGTCTTTTGATTCCTACCATTTATGCAACGATGAATTAGAATCATTTTCTAGTCATTTTGAGCAACTGTTGTATTTTTTTGATATAAAACAAAATGATAATTAAAATAAAAATGTGAAAAAAAAATTCTCTTGCACTTTTCTCTCTGCTGTTCAACTAGTATGTAGCAAAAGAAATTCCATGGATCGATTAGTTCACAGCTCGTGCAGAACTTTAATATATGCACCTATACATAGGAGCGTTCGATAGGTTGTCTTTATCAACTTAAATTGAAAATATCATTCATATTTGTTATCGCGTTGAAATTATGAATTTCCAAACATAAATTTATTGTCAAAAAATGTTTATTTTAGTCTCACTACCATAAAAATTCATCAATACCGAATGAAACAATTTGTACATGTTATATATTTTATATACAATTTTCTACATATCTTGTTCTAAAATTCTGTCAATAATAAAACTGTGTCTGTATGATAATGCGATAATTATGAAATCATTTATTAATGATTTTGTTAAAATAATTGTGTAAAATAATCTTCTAGATAAGAAACTTCATTAGGAAGGAGTATCGAATAATTATTTCCGATATTGAACGCAAGATACAAACACGCTGGTCAGAGATCGAAAGACAGATGGAATTTCTTCATTCTTTCATTGATTAAAAATTTAAAGATGTATAATATGCGTCGCTCTACTTTTAGAAGTCGAAGATACAGCATGAATGTTTGAGATAAGGTTTATAAATTGATATACATAATTAATCATTATTTTCATATAATTGTTAATAATAAATTTAATTGTTTTTAATAATATTATAAGTAATTTTTACATTATGTATTGGCTTTCTTTGTAATGTAGATTTAATATTCATATTGATATAGTTAATTATATTTACATAATCCTTATTATATTATGCATATATATATGCATACTAAATATAAAATATATATATAAATATATATTAATAAATAAATATATATATATTATTTATAATTTTATGTATGATGTATCCTAATATATGCATGTATGTTTACAATTTGGATACATGTATATTTATTTTACTTCTTTATATTTTAAATGTCAGAAAAAAATTAGAAATGTAAAATTATAAATATAATTATATTTCGGACCGTAAATTATAGTCGTTTAAAGCGCTCTTTAATTAAAATAGATTTTTATATATCAAGTTAATATAAAATTAGACTATCGAAATGTTGTTGTATAAAATAAAACCAAACTCTTAAACTAAATAAAATAATTGAATAATTTTGAAAAAATATATATGGAAAATTATAGAAGAAGAGGGGGAAAATCCTTGAGGGATGTACTCTCCTTAATAATACCTATTTCATTCATTTTAATTCAATGGCATATCACTTTATATTATATCAACTAATCGATTTATAATCAACACTTTATAAATCTATTGATTAATAATTGCATATTATCACGATAAATAACATCTTTCAATCTCCCTACGTTCAATTAATTTGGAATTAATTATATGAAAGAACACAAATCTTTTCAGTTGTGCATTAAACAAACCATTGAAACTAATATATTAATTTACGAACAAATTAGTCCCAAATAGAAAATATAAATATATCAAATAATACGATTTCTATTCTTAGGCAAGATTCTTTTCTTTATACAGTAAAAAAATTTGTGTTAAATTTAACATATTTCACATGTCCTAATCTAAATTTATCCATTCTAATTTTAATGTTAATTTAACAGAAGGCAAGTATGTAAATAAATAATACAAGTAATATATTTAAAAATTAACACAAAAGTGTAACACTTAAACTTTATCTGGAAATAAAGTTTATGTTAAATTAACATATTTATAATGTTAAATTTAATTAAAAGAAAATGTTATTCTTACATTTTTATAATAAATTACAGAAGAGATATGTCAATCTAACATATGGAAACTGTTATAGAGAGAAAAATAACACAACTTATCTGTTCATTTTAACATATAACATATTTCATCAAAAATTCGTGCATTTACTTATTAATTATGTTGTTTTAACTTTTAAAAACGGTGAATAAGTAATTAATTCAACGCAGAAATGTTAAAATAATTCAACGATAATATGTTACATTAACATAAAAGTATGTTAAAAATTTGACACAAAAATTTTTACACGAAAAAATTTTAACAAAAAAACAAAATGTTTTTTACCGTGTAGTACTTTAGATTTAGATAATTATACAAAGATACTACAGGAACTTTGTCATTTAATGAAAGAACTTCTTTCTAATTGGTAACATGTTTTAAAAATTGTAAAATGAAAGTAGAATTTATTTTGAGCAATGAAATCCTTGAAATAACATGTAGAACATTTTATAATATACGTACATATATACGCACATATATATGAATATTTACATTTGATGACTAACAGATTTCTAGAAAAAATATAAAGGTTTGCACAAAATATGAAAGTCTACACAAAATTAAATATCTCGGAAATCAACTGTATAACTTATATATTTACAATATACGTACATTACGCAATTTAATATAATTATATTAGAAATGTTTCCAAAGTAATTTTTAATTTGTAACGCAGTCTTACCAAAATCATTATAACTTTATAGACAATGATTTTTTGTTAACGATTTTTTCGCTTAATTTTACATAAAAAATTATTTAAAAGGAAGTATCGACTATTAAAAATAGGATGCAGATAATGTCAAATAATTAAATAATATAAAACAATATTTATTATATATAAAATTGATCTGCTAACGCGTAAAAAAATAGTTCATTAGATGTTTTGACCTCCAATCACGATATTTATGTTAACAGTCATCGTTTAAATAGAGATAAAAGCAAGATGGACAAAAGTTACGAAAAAACAATAAGTCACTTTTTCAAAAATATTCTTATTTTATTTACTTTTTGACTAATAAATAAAAATATACATTTTGATTAAAGAAATTTCATCCAATTTGTATTGAAGCATTAATTGCATTTTCAAAAGCCAAGTTTGTTTAATCCAAGAAATCAGATGTGATTACGAGAAGAAACTGATCTCTATTATCTTGATATCTTTACAGGGAGTTTCATAAGTGGTGGGCAAAATTTCAGGAATGGATTCCTTATGCTTAGAGAAGAAAAAAAAGTTAATCAATATAGATTCGAAAATGATTAGTTTTTAAGATTTTGAACAATTAGAGGAAATGTTCAATATGTCCATCTCCTGTCACAATACAAACCTCAGCTCGTCGTCTCATTGAGTCCCGAATACGCTCCCAAATTCCTGGCGTGGCGCGTATCGTCTGAAAAGCTGCATAATTCGATTGCGGAAAGTTTCTACGTTATCCACTGCAGATGAATGTATTAAAGACTTTGCATAACCCCACAGAAAAAAGTCCAATAGGTTTAAATCTGGTGAAAACATTGTTGATGCCTGTAAAAAGACTTCTAAGACGAGAAATGAGACAAAATTTTGTATTACAAAAATCTTAATAACTCAAAAACTAATCAATTTCGGACCTATGTTGATTAACTTTTTTTTCTTCTCTTGTAAGCATGAATCCATTCCTGAAATTTTGCCCACCACTTATAAAACACCCTGTATATTTGAATATCCATTAATTTCATAACTTTTGCTGTGAATAACTTGTTATGTTAGTTTAGGGATAATATTAATATGGATATTTTAGCTCAGGATTCTCTACAAAATTTAAAAAAATCTGTACTATACATTTACATTTCTTTCATCACATAATATGTAAATTTGTAGAAAATGCAATACGCAATTTTATAAAAGAAATAATGAATCTCTAATAAGGAAACTCATTTTTTTATTAAATACGTGTGGTTAATTTATCGAAATAAGGCATTTTCGATAATGAGAAGCATTATTATGATGATAATTTAAATACATTATAAGAATCAGCGTATATAATAAAATAATATGTAATAAAATAAATACATTATAAAATAAAAAATTGCAATTCTTGGTATCATTAAAACAAATATTTGTTAAATACATAATTGTATTATTTGTTATAGTAATTATCTTTAATTTTTGCATCGATCAACGTGAAAAGCGAAACGTCGCGATAAAGCGAAACATGTTTTAGAAATTTCTGACAAATTTCTTTCTGTATTCGGCTGTTAGATCTCGTTTATGGATGTTTATGTAGCGGCGGTTATATGTACAATTGCGTGTTAGAAACACATCCGGGTTCCTATCGATCAATCAAATTTAAAAACATTTTATTTAACATTTTTTTCATTATCACAAATTGTATTCGAATAAATTATTAAATATGTGTGCGCGATTAAGAATGATAATGAAAGAGTAAACGTTTCGAAAGAATAGATTGACTAAGTCGACTAGACATCCATGCAATGAACTTAGCAAGCGATACTTTGTTCGCAAAAATTAACATTTTAATTAGCAATCAGCTCATATCAGCTGCTTTCACAATAAAGTACTGCACTGTTGAAAATTAAAGCACAATTATGTTTAAATTATCCAAAATTTATATTGATGACATACGATCTTTGTCGGCTTTGGCGATTAGGAGAAATTGAATTTTTTTCTTATTCAAAGCTAAACAAATTTAAAAAATTGATAATGAAATACACAATGAAATGTGACAAGGAAAAATTTTCTATATATTTTAATAATTTTTTGTTTCGATTTGAGACATAATTGAGCACCGTCTTTTTAAAAAATTAAAATTTTAATTACTCTATATTTTCTTTTTTATTTATTCATGTAAAAAATTGTACACTCGTCCTTTTGTATTTGATCATTTTTGTCCACATATATGTATGTGCTGTCACTAATGTGTATATGTAAAACTTTCATAATTTTTATTATTATAATATATTTATATTATCTGATTTTTTCTTATCGCAAATTGAACGAATAATTAAAACAATTGATGATAAAATACAGAATAACAATATAAAATACAGAATAAAATGTGACAAGGAAAGATATTCTGTATATTTCGAGAATTTTTTTGCCAAAGCAAATCCCACTCGATCATTCTTCATGTCAAACTCGGTATAGAAACGACCAATAAATGGCTCACCTAGAATCCAATTTATCCCAAGGATGTGACATCCAACAAAGGTGCTTATACAAAATTTAGTACCATCCTTTAGCTTGTACTGTGCAGAATTATATTTAACAACGTAAACTGCTCTTATATATACTTAAATAATTTAAATAATTTAAATAATACCTATAAATAATACCTATAGCGCTCACCTGAATAATGTAATCTTTGCCGGTAAGATTGAATGCCTTACCATCCAAAATGAAACTAATTGTAGGCAATTCAGAAATTCGGTCGCAGTCTACCTTTAAATAAATGATAATATCAAATTAATAATTAATATTTAATAAATGTATTAAGTACGTTCAACCGAATCGTGGATTAATGTCGTTGTTCCACACAAATCTATGTTTAATTTGGACACACCTGACATTTATTCTCCGTTACTATCAAATTTTTATTCTCTTTTACACTAAAGACTATGAGCTTTGTGAGGGATATAATCGTTTACTTACTGTGTCATATACATCATCACTAGAAACTCCAATAAGATCATTAATACGACTGATATCTGATATTGGTCCAATTATCCATGGAGTACCTGTATCAGCGATAGCTTGACAGCTTTCGATGCACAAATTAATGTAGTCTATTTTGATCCTACAAAGCGATAAAGTTAAGAATTTGTTGAAATATGATTAACGTAATTTAAGAAATGACATACTTATCTATGGTAAATTGCCAATATCCTTTGCGAGTAACAGGTATATATGTCAAATTGCCTTCGTAAAAAGCAGGATCGGAACCACCTAATATCAATACACCACCATTTATCTCGTCTGAAACATCTCTGAACAAATTATATATTTTTTATATTGTGATATGTATGTGTGTATGATAGTTAAGATTAAATTATTATATATTTATTGTACAAATATAAATATTACTTTAATTTAAAAAATTGTAATAATGTAAAAATAATAAATTTAATATTAAAATAAATATAAATAAACATATAATTATAATTACACGGATATACATAATATGTACCTATTGAGATAAACACTGAAAATAGGTGATGACACTAGACCTTGTTCAATCATGTTGTCGAAGATAGGTGTTATTCCTTTTACAGATATATTGGAATAACCCAGGCCCAAGATACCATCAAATCTTTTTAGAAGCAACCTTTCTGGTTTTAATACGTGTATCACTTCTGCAAATGTTTGATTCCGTATTTCAATCAATTTCGTTTCGGATTCATAACCGGGAAACTATAATAAAATTCACATTAAAATAATATATCGTTATTGCCGCGCAAAAAAAAATACGATTGCTTAAGAAATGTTTAAACTACAATTATAGTCGTAACTAAAATGGATTGTTTTGTTTAATAATGACTTACAAACACTGAATCAGTAGATAGAAATCCTTTTACCTCGTAGGAGAAGTATTCTATATCAATCTGAGTATTATTTGGTATATATGTTTCGGACATGTTACTATAATATCGACTATTTGCTACTGTAAAGCATATTCAGTAATATCACAAATTAGCATTATTAGAAAGAAACTTTTAAATTTAAAGATATCGTCTTTTATTAATCTATAGTAAATATACAATATTTTTTAAAACATATAAATAATATTTATATAATGATTTATATATTATATAATTATATATAATGCATATATAAAAGAGTTTATCAAATTAACTCTTAAATCATTTTTATTTAATAAAGCTTGTTTGTATCTTCAGAGTATGAAATTGTTTATATTAATTTATGCATGTAAATTTCAAAACTTTTAATACTTTTACTATAACATGAGTATTAAATTTGTATATTGTTCAACCATTTAAAGATTATACTTGAAAAATATGATAGTGGGTAGAATACATATTATACTTATATTATCTCAATCAACATTTTATGTTACTTAATATTAATCATTTTGTAAGAAATCAAGAATTTTCTTTAAGAAGCAACCTTGATAAATATAATATGTGCGCATACACACATATAATATATAATAAAATATAAAATAAATAATATTACACACGCGGTATTAATTAATTCGTGTATATTAAACAGATACACATATTCATTGATAAAAAACATACCAAAAAGTTTAAAACATAATTTTTTTGAACGAAGAAAGAAGCTATCGTATAAATATTCTGTAAAGTTCATTTTAGTGTCGCTCGTTAGAATAATACATATGTATGACTATGAGTTACGCAACCGATATTATCCATTACATACTATTCGACGCGCACTTCGCGTTTATTCTTGTCTAAAGAATGATATTGTTTAAGTGGAATTTATTTAATAAATGACAAATAAAAACATATATATATATATATATATATATATATATATATATGGCTTGAATAATATACAGGGTGTTGAAAAATTAAGTGCCATAAATTTGTGTGATGAAAGAAGGAATCAATATAAGCATTTTAAGTATAGGAACCGTGGGTCGGCGACGCTTAGTTACGGCGTGACAAGGGTTTAATTAAATTGTCACAATGTCTGCAATACAATGATTTTATTCGGTTAATTTTAGATGTTTATAATAAATGTTCGAAATTACGACCGCTAACGTTCCGACAAAAATCAGAACGACGGAGCAATGATTCCCGCGTTCTTTGGAATATTGTCACAACGTCTGCTACGCGAGCCCTATCTTATGCCTCCCAGGCTCAATAGACACAATTATTTAATATTTCTGCAGCAAGTCCTGCCGGAACTTTTGGAGGAAGTACCACTCGCAATCAGAAGAGTCATGTGGTTTCAGCACGACGGTGCCCCAGCGCACTTTACGGCTGAAGCACGCAATCATCTGACAGAGACTTTCGGCAACAGATGGATCGGGCGGGGTAGACCTGTGGCGTGGCCTGCAAGGTCACCAGATTTGACGCCTCTCGATTTCTACTTCTGGGGTGCAATGAAAAATATGATTTATTCCGAACCGGTTGAATCCGAGGAGGATCTGGTCGCTCGTATCGTTGAGGCGTCTGAAACTATCCGACAAACTCCTGGAATATTCCAAAGAACGCGGGAATCATTGCTCCGTCGTTCTGATTTTTGTCGGAACGTTGGCGGTCGTAATTTCGAACATTTATTATAAACATCTAAAATTAACCGAATAAAATCATTGTATTGCAGACATTGTGACAATTTAATTAAACCCTTGTCACGCCGTAACTAAGCGTCGCCGACCCACGGTTCCTATACTTAAAATGCTTATATTGATTCCTTCTTTCATCACACAAATTTATGGCACTTAATTTTTCAACACTCTGTATATACAGGATGTCCTAGACCATCCATACACCCTTTTTCTTTCAAAAACTATGCATTTTAGAGAAAAACATTTTCAACAAAATGTTATGGTTTTATAAAAAATTGTATGGTTTTGAGGGGAACATAAGATGGTGTCATTGGTTTGACCTTGGATGGCATCGTTAAAGTCAAGTCAAGGACACCTTTAATTTCTTAAATGGAACCACCTATTTTTTATTGAACATTCTTATAGCTTATGTCGAGAGCTTTCCAAAATACTACTACCACTATAATAAAGTATTTTTTCATTGAGTACTTTTCTAGTTATGAGGCTTGAATAATTTTCCAATTTTACATAAACCATAAAATATCTAGTAAAATATTCATTTTTTATTATCTTACCTTAATACTTTTATGTGCAAAATAATGAGAGGAATTAATTGGTGTAATGAAAACACAGTTGTTTTTAAGAAAAAATATGGAATTGTTAATTGCAAATTACATATTTTTTTTTCGGAACAATTATGTGTTTTTTTACACCAATTGCTTCCTCTCATTATTTTGCACATGAAAGTATTAAGGAAAGATAATTGAAAAATAAATATTTTACTAGATATTTTATAGTTTATGTAAAATTAAGATATTATTTTAAGTCTCATAAATGGAAAAGTACTCAATGAAAAAATACTTTGTTATAGTGTTTTGGAAAGCTCTCGACATAAGCTATAAGAATATGCAATAAAAAATAGATGATTCCATTTAAGAAATTAAAAGTGTTCTTGACCTTAACGATGCCATCCAAGGTCAAATCAATGACACCATCTTATGTTCCCCTCAAAACCATATAATTTTTGCCAAAATTTTTTCTCTAAAATGCTTAGTTTTTGAAAGAAAAGGAGTGTACGGGTGGTCTAGGATACCCTGTGTATATAATTATATGTATATATAATTACTGTATATATAATTACTTATATAACAAATAAATTACTTACAACAAATAATATCTGTGCAATTTGCCGAAAATATCCAAAGATTTGATGAACCAGTATCCACTATCACGTTAAAGTCTTGCCACGGAACTCCAATACTAATACTAGCAAAGTACTTTAGATTTAGATAATTATACAAAGATACAGGACGTTTGTCATTTAATGAAGGAGTTTCTTCTAAATTGATGCGAAGTTTTTTTAAATATTGTAAAGTGAAAGTAGAATCCATTTTACGCAATGAAATCCTTGAAATAACATATAGAACATTTTATAATATACGCATATATACATATATATATATATATATATATATATATATATATATATATAATATATATACAGGGTGTATCTGAAATGACGCACTAAACTTTAGGAGCGTATTCTAGAGGTCAAAAGCTATTAAGAGCTAATAAAGCTAATAAGATTTTTTTCCTATGAACATGAGTCCGCAAATGAACCCCCCTCCGAGCTAGAGACCCCTAAAGTTTGGGAAAAAAATTGAAAATTGGCTGTATTTCAGAAAACATATCTTATTTGACTTTGGTTTTGACGTTACCTATCACCCTCTCTTGAGAGATAAATATATTTGCGGGTGTTTGGTCAATTTCACACATTTTCGAATTTTAACTCGGAGGGGAGTTCATTTACGGACCCATGTTTAGGAAAAAAAAGTCTTATTTTGATCTTTAGAATACGCTCCTAAAGTTTAGTGCATCATTTTAGATATCCCATATATAAGTATATATTTACATTTGATATGACTAACAGATATTTCTAAAAAATATATAAAGGTCTGCACAAAATATGAAAGTCTACACAAAATTAAATATCTTAGAAATCAACTGTATAACATATATTTACAATATAAATACATTATGCATTTAAATATAATTATATTAGAAATGTTTTAAAGTAATATTTAATTTGTAACGCAGTATTATATAAAATTACTATAACTTTACGCACAATGATATTTTGTTAACGAGAATTTTGCGTGTAATTTTACGTAAGAAGTAATTTAAAAAGAAGTTATCAACTATTAAAAATAGGATGCAGATAATGTCAAATAATTAAATAATATAAAATAATATTTATTATATCTAAAAAACTATATCCATTGATCTGCTAACGTGTGAAAAAATAATTTAAAATTAGATATTTCGATGATCTCCAATCATGACATTTACGTTAACGGTCGTCGTCTGAATGTAGATAGAAGCAAAATGGGCAAAAGCGAATGTTACGAAAGAACAAACAGTCACTTTTTCAAAAATATCCCTTTTCTATCTATTCTTCGACTAGTGAATAAAAATATACATTTTGATATCAAAGAAATTTAATCCAATTTGTATTGAAGCGTTAATTGCATTTTCAAAAGCTATGCGTTTAATCCAAGAAATCAGATGTGATTATGAACAAAACCAATCTTTATAATCTTAATATCTTTATCTCTCTCCTTCTTGTTCCAATATATAAAATACAATAAAATATATACCAACCTGTGCAATTGCGCATCAGTCGTCATAAAAAGCACCGTCACTACCACAAAAAGGCAAAACATTTTTCAGAATTTATTTATTACTGAAGTCTCGATTCGTGAAAATTTCAACGTTGAGTTTCTTTCGACACTTTATGACTGGATACACAGAAAAATAAAGTGTTGTGGCTTACTCACATTCCTCTTAATATTGTGTCGGTATTCGATAAGGTATATATATATGATCGCACGTGCCCCTCTGTTGAATGCTTGAAACAGGTAGAGAACGCGCGAAACATTCGAAAAATCCTGAGATTTCCATCGATCAATTTAATTTAAATATGCCATATTTTTCGTGATCGTGTATTTTTAATTAAGAACATTTATTTACATAAATTCATGATTAATAATAAAAACAATTCTTTCAAGAAAGAATTGTTTATACCGACCAAACAGACAATCATGCAACTTTACAATAATTTGCAAAAAGTAGTATTTAATTAATCGACATTTTCTTATATAATCTTGTGCGGCTAAATTATACATATTTATGTAATTATAAATTACTTTATTTGTTGAATTCTTGAGATTTTTAAAAACAAAAGGAAATATACACAATTTTAAATATATTAGAATATGCATTAATTTTATAAATTTTGCTATGAACAATTTGTTATGTAGTTTAGGGATAATATTAATATGGATATTTTAGCTCAAGATTCTCTGCAAAATTTAAAAAATTCTGTATTATACATTTACATTTTTTTTATCACATATATATAAATTTGTAGAAAATGCAATATGAAAAGAAATAATAGATCTCTAATAAGAAAACGCATTTTTTTATTAAAAAACGTGTTATTAATTTACCGAAATAAAGTTATTTTTAATAATGAGGAGCATTATTATGATGATAATTTAAATACATTATAAGAATCAGCGTATATAATAAAATAATATATAATAAGATAAATACATTATAAAATAAAAAAATTGCAATTCTTGTTATCATTAAAACAAATATTTATTAAGAGCATAATTGTACTATTCGATATAATAGACCGATCTTTATAAATTCAATATTTATTATACCGATATGTATAACACACGCGTACAATACAATACATATATATGAACTTATCCTTAGTTTTCGCGATCAACGTGAAAAGCGGAACCTTACAAGAAAACGAAACATGTTTTCGAAATTTCTGATAAATTTCTTTCTGTACTCGGCTACTAGAAATATCATTTATCGATGAGCAGTGGCGGCTATATGTACGATCACGCGTATTAGAAGCACATCCGAGAACCTATCAATCAATTAAATTTTAAAACATTTTATTTATCATTTTTTTAATTATCATAAATTATATTAAAATAAATTATTAAATGTGTGCGTGATTAATGAAGAAGCAATCAGCGTTTCGAAGGAATACATTAACTATGTTGACTAGACATCCATGCAATGAACTTAGCAAAGTGATACTTTGCTCGCAAAAATTAACATTAATTTAATTAGCAATTATTTAATTAGCATCAGCTCAAATCAGCTGCTTTCACAATAATGTATTGCACTGTTGAAAATTAAAGTATAATTATATCCAAATTATTCAAAAATTCATTTAATAACATACGATCTTTGTCGGCTTTGACGATTAGGAAAGATTGAATTTTTTTTTCGTATCGAAAACTAAACAAATAATTTAAAAAATTGATGATAAAATACACAATAAATTGTGAGAAGAAAAGATTTTCTGTATATTTTGATATTCTGTTAATTTTAGTTTCGATTTCGGATATAATTGAGTCGTCTTTTTTAAAAATTGAAATTTTAATTATTCCACATTTTCTTTTCTATTTATTCGTGTAAAAAATTGTACACTCGTACTTTTCTATTTGATCATTTTTATCTACATATATGTATTGTCACTAATGTGTACATGTAAAACTTTTATAATTTTTATTATCATAATATATTTATATTATGTGATTTTTTTTCTTATCGCAAATTGAACGAATAATTAAAACAATTGATGCTAAAATACAGAAAAACAATATAAAATACAGAATAATATGTGACAAGAGAAAATTTTCTGTATATTTCGAGAAATTTTTTGCCAAAGCAAATCCCACTCGATCATTCTTCATATCAAACTCGGTGTAAAAACGGCCAATAAATGGATCGCCTAGAATCCAATTTATCCCAGGGATGTGACATCCAACAAAGGTGCTTACACACAATTTAGTACCGTCCTCTAGCTTGTACTGTGCAGAATTATATTTAACAACGTAAACTGCTCTTATATATACTTAAATAATTTAAATAATATCTATAAATAATACCTATAGCGCTCACCTGAATGATATAATCTGTGCCGGTAAGATCGAATGCCTTACCATCCAAAATAAAACTGATTGTAGGCAATTCAGAAATTCGGTCGCAGTCTACCTTTAAATAAATGATAATATCAAATTAATAATTAATATTTAATAAATATATTAAGTACGTTGAACCGAAACGTGGATTAATGTCGTTGTTCCACACAAATATATGTTTTATTTGAACACACCTGACATTTATTTTCCGCTATTATTAAATTTTTATCATCTTTTACATCAAAGACTAGTGCTTTGTGAAAGACATAATCGTTTACTTACTGTTTCATATCCATCATCATTAAAAACTTCAATAAAATTATTAATACGATTGATTTCTGATATTGGTCCAATTATCCATGGAGTACCTGTATCAGCGATAGCTTGACAGCTTTCAATGCACAGATTAATGTAGTCTATTTTGATCCTACAAAGCAATAAAGTTAAGAATTTGTTGAAATATGATTAACGTAATTTAAGAAATGACATACTCATCTATGGTAAATTGCCAATATCCTTTGCGAGTAACAGGTATATATGTCAAATTGCCTTCGTAAAAAGCAGGATCGGAACCACCTAATATCAGTACACCACCATTCTCCTCTGAAACATCTCTGAACAAATTATATATTTTTTATATTGTGATATGTATGTGTGTATGATAGTTAAGATTAAATTATTATATATTTATTGTACAAATATAAATATTACTTTAATTTAAAAAATTGTAATAATGTAAAAATAATAAATTTAATATTAAAATAAATATAAATAAACATATAATTATAATTATACGGATATACATAATATGTACCTATGGAGATAAACACTGAAAATAGGTGATGACACTAGACCTTGTTCAATCATGTTGTCGAAGAGAGGTGTTACTCCTTTTACAGATAGATTGGAATAACCCAGGCCCAAGATACCATCAAATGTTCTATCAGAAAACACATCGTCATTTGATATGTGTACCGCTTCTGCAAATGTTTGATTCTTTATATCGAAATCGGCAACCTATATTAAAATTGATATATAAATTTGATATATAAAATTGATATATAAAATTGATATTAAAATAATATGTCGTTATTGCCGCGCAAAAGAAATGATTATGATTAAGAAATGTTTAAGTTACGATTATAGTTGTAACTAATTTGGATTGTTTGTTTAATAATGACTTACAGTCACTGTATCAGTAGATAGGAATCCTGTTACATTGTAATCGAGGTATCGTATATGAAATGGAGTATTATTTGGTATATATGTGTAAGATTCGTTACTATAATATCGACTACGTTTAACTGTAAAGCATATTCAGTAATATCACAAATTAGCAATATTAGAAAGAAACTTTTAAATTTAAAGATATCGTTTTTTATTAATCTATAGTAAATAAATAATATTTTTTAAAATATATAAGTCATATTTATATATATGTGTGTATTATTGCGTATATGTTTAGAAATAAATTACTTACAACAAATAGGAATTGTACAATTTTTGGAGAATACCCAAAAATTTGCGGAACCAGTATCCAATATCACTCTAAATTCTTGCGGCGGAGTTCCAATCTCAATAAAGCCATAATACTTTAGATTTAGATAATTATACAAAGGTATTAAAGGAAAATTATTTATCGGAAGAAACCTATATTTTTGTTCCAAATCGGTGCCAACTGTTTTCATAGATTGTAGAATGGAAATAGGATCCGTCTTGTGCATTGAAATCCTTGAAATAACAAAGAATATTCTGTTTGATATATATATATATATATATATATATATATATATACATAATGAATATTTATATTTGATAGGAAATAGCAGATATTTCCAGAACAAATATGAAAGTCTATATAAAATTAAACATCTCATAAATCAATTACGTAACTTACATATTTACAATATAAATATATTACGCATTTAAATATAATTATATCAGAAATGTTTATTTATTCGATAATCTTTCTAATATATTAAAATTGATCTTTATATTGCATATATATATATATATATATATATATATATAATATTTAATTTTTAACTCAATCTTATGTAAAATCGTTATAACTTAGCAGACATTGATTTTTTCTTAACTAGAATTTTGCGTATAATTTTACACAAGGAAATAATTTAACAAGAACTATTAAAAATAAGATATAAAGAATATCAAGTAATTAAATAATATAAAGCAATTCATTATATCTAAAGTTGATTTGCCAAGGGATGAAAAAATAGTTTACAATTAGGTTACAATTTGTTTTGATGACTTTCAATCACGATATTTATGTTAACGATCGTCGTTTGAGTGTAGATAAACAAAATAGGCAAAATCGAACGTTACGAAAGAAAAGTCACTTTATCAAAAATATCCCTTTTCTATCTCCTCTTCGACTAGTGAATAAAAATATACATTTTGATATCAAAAAAATTTCACCCAATTTGTATTGAAGCGTTAATTGCATTTTCAAAAGCTATGCGTTTAATCCAAGAAATCAGATGTGTTGATTACGAACAAAACCAATCTTTATAATCTTGATATCTTTATCTCTCTCCTTCTTGTTCCAATATATAAAATACAACAAATATATGCCAACCTGTGCAATTGCGCATCAGTCGTCATAAAAAGTACCGTCACTACCACAAAAAGGCGAAACATTTTTCAGAATTTATTTATTACTGAAGTCTCGATTCCTGAAAATTTCAACGACGAGTTTCTTTCGACACTTTATGACTGGATACACAGAAAAATAATGTGTTGTGGCTTACTCACATTCCTCTTAATACTGTGTCGGTATTCGATAACGTATATATATGAACGCGCGTGCCCTTCTGTTGAATGCTTGAAACAGGTAGAGAACGCGCGAAACATTCGAAAAATCCTGATAGATTTTCATCGATCAATTTAATTTAAATATATCAAATTTTTCGTGATCATGTATTTTTAATTAAGAACGTTTATTTACATAAATTCATAATTAATAATAAAAAACAATTCTTTCAAGAAAGAATTGTTTGTATCGACCAAACAGACAATCATGCACCATTAACTTTACAATAGATAATTGTAAATAATACTAAGACATTATAAGTTTACGTTTCATTGAATGAACGATTACAATCATTAATATTACTGAAGATCTAGCGTGTAACATTTATCTTTAATTTTAATTGCTGACAATATTATTCTACTGATCTAACGTTGTTTGAATTTTCTCTTCTCATGATCTTGAGAATCCTGTCATATACGAGTTTTGACGCATCTTTAGCCCATATAAAATCCATGTGATTGAATTTTGACCACGGCACTTCGTACATATCCACTACATTGGGCAATAAATGGTACAATCTTTTCACACCCTTAAAGAAATATTTTTGTGAGTTATCATATGCGATTTCTTCTCAATTATCTCCCCAATCAATCAAGTAATTTAAAATTTGATACTTTTCCATTGCTTACCTTTGTGCTGATTAACCAGTCATTATTGGCGTAAAACAACGCGACTGGTATTGTTATATTCGATAAATCATAATTTGGTGGGTTCATAGAATTATAAATCAACAGATTTTTCACGCGACTGTATTCGTATTTGCGAAACTTGCCCGAGTCAGCTATTTGGCTGTAATGCAGTAGCGTTTTAACTGAGATGCTGGTCGGGAAATGATTCAAGATGACAGGCAATAGAGTCTAACAATAAATAAAAAACAATAATGATATATTTAAAGTTCCAATTGAAATATGATCACGCGATAGTGGAATGCAATATTCATAGATTCGGTCGGAGTTGTATTCCAACAGCAAATTACTTACATACTTATATCATTACTTACATTGTTAAACTGTTCGCGATCATCACCCCAGATCATAAACATAAAATTTGAGCAGATCTCTCCGAGACTAATATTCCGCTGGCAGATTTTTTTCAAAAGAAATCTCACAAAGTCGCTTTGGAGGAATTCATCATGGAAAAATAATTGCATCACTCTCTGTAATTGAAAATCTCTTAATCATTATGTAATTTAATTCTTTTTTGTTCGAGAATTTTAATGATTTTCACAATGAATTTATAAATATTTAACAAATTTTTTTAATAATTTAAGTTAATGTTAATAAAAGTTTCAAGAGTTATTTCAATTTTAACTCGTCCAAGGTATCTTCTTAAAATTAAAACCAAAAATTGAATATGTACAGTGTAAACAAACATGAAAAAAGATGTAAATTTTTAAACGTTTAGAATTAAAATCTTCCGACATTTTGTAAAAAAAGAATCCATTGCATTTCTAATTTATATTTTATTGTAAGACATATTTTTGTTTCTATTTTACCAGGAATTTATTTATAATATTGATAGAATATTATAAAGATAGAATATTAATTGATAGATAGTACATTAAGTTAGTAACATATAATAAACATAAAGCAATAAATGAGAACATCGATCAATCACAGTCTAGTATTTTTTATAAATTGATTATTAGATTTAAGTAGCTAATCAGCAATGTTAGTTTGATTATTACTAACATTATATTACTTATATTTTTTTATGTGTCATAACATTTACTTCTAACTCTGTTAACATTATTTTCCCTTCTTCAGATAACAGTTTACAAATTTTATCTATAAAAGAAAGTATGAAAATGTGTTTTATTTTTTCATACCGTTTAAACTTTGTTATTACATGATACATTATATATCTTTTAACAGTATCATCATTATTTTACCTTAATTTCATTTTTAAATGGTAATAAGTGTTGTACTGGACTCTGCAAGTGGTTTACAAGAACTGCTGGCGCGAGACCGACCATCATTTGCACCATTCGAGCGATTTTCGGACGCTCTGATGCCATTATAAAAAAACTAGTTGCGCCCATAGAATGACCAATATATGTGTGCAATGGTTGGGATCTCATATTCGTGATAAATGTAATCATCGCGGGTAAATCATAGATGCCCATTTCGTGAAAGCTAATGAAAAATTCATTTATATATCGTAAAATATAAATATATACACAATCTCACATACACATGTATAGAGAAAATAAATATATTACATATATATATATAAAGTATTCTGTAAAAGCGGAAATTAAAATTTTGTACAAAGAATGACAAGAAAAATCAAGAAAAATAGCAAATGCATTGTATTAGCTATAGAATAAAAGGTGAGACATCTTGAAAACATTGCATTTTCGAAAAAAAAAATATCTGTATAATAAGTTAAACAAATCCTTGCGTCAAATTAAAAGAAGTATTTGTCAAAATTATTATTATTTTATTTTTATAACATCATTACTCTTATTTTATACTAGTATTTTATATTATATTATTTTATACCTGAAATTCCAAAATGACGAATTCTTAGGAGATAGGAAAATATGCGCCTTCGAGTATATATTACCTCGAAAATTGCCCAACCAAACATCGTATCCCTGATCCGCCAATAAGTAAGCTAATATAAAAAGAAATGTTGTATGTGTATTTATCATATTACTTACATTTTCATATATATTATATATATAATACGAATTTTCATATATTATATATATATATATATATATATATATATATATATATAATACGAATTTTTTAGCATTTTTACGATAGAATTTAATGATATGATAACAGTTTTGTGATACATATTTGAATTTAAAAATTGATTGACGATTATACCCAATGCTTTGCCTTTGCCAAGAACAACCCAGTCGGCGGAGCTGCATAAAAGACCATGCTGCAGAAGAACGGGTAAAGAATTGTTGCCACCTGGGATACGATGTAACGTCAAGAGATAGCCGTCCTCCGTCATTATAATGTAAGATTCTGCGGGATAACCCGCTTTTTTTATCATCCCCGGCTGAAAAAAAAACTGTGTAAGAAGGAGGAAAAACTGAACTGGAAATAAATTTGAACAAGTAATGCATAATATATTTATTTTCATAGGCATAGACATGCAAACATAATATATTTCACATTATTTTACGTTTCAAAATAAAAAAATAAAAGAAATTTAATGTTAATTGATTAGTATTAATAATTAAATATTAAATCACTCTTCCAAAGCAACAAAAATATATAAAAATGCTATTCAATGTATTTTTAAAGATTATAATATAATATAATTTTTCTCACTTTCTATCACTTTCAACAACATAGAAGATATCGGAACATTAAAGATTTTAATTCCCTTTTAATTTCCGTCAATGAAAACTTTCATTTACCGTGTTGAGAATAGCATCAGGATTGAATTTGTGAGAGATGTTTGACTGATTCCAATTAATCCATATTATTCTTCTAATGAGCGTACTTATCTCAGAGGTCACATTTATCGGAGCCGCACTAAGATGATTACAAAACGACAGCAAAAACATGAGCCCGATCAATTTCATTTCAATGAAAGATTCAATAAATAGTGAAAGAAAACGGATAATTCGAGAGTTTTTTTGGAATATCGAGATATATATCGTTGAAAATTAAGCAGAACACACGAAAGCGACATAGATGCTACTGCGAGACATAGATGTTAACTGCTTTTTATAGCTGCGTGCCATCGTATTAGAATGAATCGTCATTGTATTTATGACTATTTTTTATAAGCTCGAAAAGAAGAATAAGTAAAATATATTGTTGTATTATTAATCATATGAGAAAAAAATTTCGAAAAAAGTAAATATAAATTTATATGTAACCGGTTATCCTTGTCCTCAATATTTGTACATATAGGATGACGAAATGATAAAGACGGAAGAGTAATAAAATGCGTGAAATTAAATTATAAAATATAAAATTAACGTAAAATTAAATTATGAAATAAAAATTTATTGCGATTTAAGCGAGAAATATATCGTGAGTCAGAATGGAAAGCGATTGTCGATCCGATTTTGTAGAGAGGAATCGTCCCTTTCGGTCTTATACCAAATAGAGATTCTTACGAAAAAATTACCGTGATAGAAAAAGTAGTCTCGTCATATATAAATGCAAAATGGATCTTCTTGCTTCCGAATATCGAACCATTATTTTGTTACATGTTCGATTATTACTATTATTTATCGTTGCTACGTTGATGGGGATAATATTTTGCATATTTTTATCCTAACTTTCGAGAAAACAACATTTGTTTCGAAGCGAAAAAAAGGAGCAACTCAAAACAAGAAGAGCCGAACGGTTGATACATCGCTCTCTCCTATTACAGATAACATCTCATATTTAAATTTAAATGTTATCGTCTAGGTATACAAGATGAATTACCAAATTTACAGCATGAAGTAAGAAAACGCGTATGTATGAGGAATAAATTACTTTTAATCCTTGAATTCAACTTTTATCTGCTGTTTGAAAAATTTGTTGCTAGTTTTTATCTCGCTTTCTATCTGTTTTATTGCAATTTTCGAAAAAACTTCTGCATCAAATATATATATACATTTTATATGTATAAAAAATATATATGTATATATTTTGTATAAAATTACATATACATTTACTCGATCATATTCGAATTATTTTTTCGACAACAAATTCGAATGATTCGTGTTATTGCTGTCATAATTATACAAAGGTAGATCGATATGCATATGTGTGATAAATCGCAAAAAAAAATCGTTTTAAGAATTATATAAATTCAACTTAACGCCTAAATTTCAGTTTTGAATTAAAAAACGGCAATCGTTTTCAACCATTTCTTGATAGCATTTAAAGAAAACTAAGAGAAATAAAAATTTTAGTATTCATTTCAATGATGTGTTATATACATATATCGCCTTTTGTCATTTCGCACGGTGACTCTTAAATAATAAAGTAGTGAGAAACGCTTCAAATATTGTAATTTTCTTACTAAACACGATTATGATTAGTATCGAAACATAATTTGCTTTAAATATTAATAAAAATTAATTAATTAAAAATTAATTATCAATATGAAACTGTATCGCAACCATAAATCTTTATTGAATCGTAATGCTTCATTACCACGATTAAAAATTGAAACAGGAAATATATAAAAGGGGATAAAAAAATTATGTAATGATCTTTCGATCATTGCTGTTAATTGTAATATTTCTTTAATAATATTAAAATTAAATATATTTTGAATAATGCTTTAAATTTTCTCAATTTTTGTTAATTAAACAATATACAATTTAATCGAGAATCGATTAAATTATAGGAATCCAAAATATTAAATAATCTCTTCGATCGTTGCGATTTTTATGGACAATAATTATTATTTTAATATTTAGAGTCACAAATATATTTCATTCGTATTATCTTATCATTCTACTTGACAATGTAAATATAATTTGGATTGTGAGAGAACACGAAGTAAAACAATCGAATTATAGATGCATATAATTAGCATAACGAAAGGTTCTGTGATAAATTGTTTAATAAATAATCAGTTTTAATTAATAAATTGTTTTATAGTATATAAAATATTTCTACAAAAAATTATCAATAACATTATCTTCGACTTTGATGACGTAAACAATAATGTGTTATTGTTTGTACGTTATGGTTTATTAATTAATTGTTTAATATGGTATATTAATTAATTGTTTAATAAATAATCGTTTAATTAATAAATTGAAAAACTTCTACAACTTTAATATTTTTATGTATAACAGTATATGTTATAGTACGTAAAATATTTGAACGAATTATCGATAACACGGTGTTCGACTTTGACAATATAAACTATAGCGCGCTATTTACGGCTTCATTATCATTCGCATGATGACACTCGAGCGATAAAGTAGTGGTGCGAAACGCTTCGCATATTGTCGAATTTTTTTTTTAACACGATTACGATTAGTAATGAAACATAATTGGATATAATTACTAATAATTAAAAATAAATTAAGTTATGATAAACGTCATGAAAATGTATCGCAACGATAAATCTTTATCGAATTGCAATCATTAATTACTACGAATAAAAATTGAAAAAGGGAACGATAAAAGGGGATGAAGAAATTAATTTTATTATGATCTTTTGATTATTGATGCTTATTATAATAATTTCTCTAACGATACTTATTAGAATTAAATAAATTTCGACTAATGCTTGAAATTTTCTTAATCGACAATCACTCACAGAATATTTCGACGACGAATTATAACAATAACCTAGTATAAATCAGTCTTGGCGATATAAACGATATAAACAGTTTATCATTCGCATAGTAACCTTGAACAATAAAGTAGTGATGTTTCATATTATCAAATTCTCCCTCTACATAGTCAACCTTGACGATATAAACAGTACCGCGGAAATATTTCTGACCTACGATCAATCCCTCAGCGGCCTTCAAGCAGTGAGATAGTGATGTGAGACGTTCCATATATTATCAAATTCTTTCTCTAACAATTATTTTGAGCATTGCTTTATATAATAGATTTTCTCTTGTCTTTTATATTTTTATTTATCGTTTATATTTGCGAATTAAAATGTATATAGTATATTACAAAATTAATCGTATATTATATTATATATAAAATTACTTATAATATAATATAATCCTCCCATGGGGTACACCTTGTCGCGGTGGGAGGGCTTAGTACTTGGATGGTGCCTTGAGGTTTATTTTAAATTTTTCAATTTATGATAAATCTTAAGGTGCCTGAAAGGGAAGCTAAGTACCCTTTCGCGTCGTCGGTGCCATCAACGTGCCGCGGACAACAAGCGCTTCGTCAACGCGTTAGGTATATACATATTAGGGAGTGCCGTTAAAGGTATATACATATTGAGTATATACATCGCGCGATCAAATATAAAATTTTTAATCGCATCGAAATAGTGCGGGAATGCCGTTCAGTATCGCGCGTAAAATAACGAAAATAGCGATATAAAAATATCGCTCGCGAGTGCGGGAGTGTCGTTAAAAGTATCGCGCGCCAACAACATGAGAGGAGGAAGAGGCCTGGAAGAGGCATCAGGCTCGGGCAGAGCAACCTTGTGGTAAGCAATTTATTTATTTGTAATTTGTAATTGTATTGTATATTAAATATTAAATATATTTATTGTAATTTAAATTAAACTATTAATCGCAATAATTAATTTGATATTTTTATTTTTATTTTTTATTTATATTTAAATAAAAGAGAATTAAAGAAAAAGATTTTTAAATTAAAGCTATAATCTTGTAAAGGTGTAAGCTTTTATAAAGTTATAAGAGAATTATTAGTAATGTTTTTTAAAATTTATAAAATTATTTTATTAATCCGTTATTATTATATGCTTCGAATATAAAATTCAATGTATACAATAATATTTGAAATATTAATTATTTTGAACGCTGCTACATTGAAATCTTCTTTTGTACCTTATAGATCGATGCAACAATCCTGATGATCTGAGAGGAGGAGCAGGCCTAGGAGGGACATCCTGCGGCATCGGCGGAACAACCTGATGGTAAATATTATTATTTATATATTAATTGTTATAAATCGTTAACTTGTTATAAACGAACAATAATTCGATCTTGTTATTTAAATGATTTCAAGAGAAAAATTTTTATAAAAGTCATATAAAATTTTCTATTTAAAAAGCAGTTTCAAAAATTTATCCAAAATTTTTCCATAAGTGTTTATCTGCTTATTATTTTACACATCGGATATAAAATTCCGCGCGATAAAAAGTTTTTTAAATATTACTTGCATTTTATGAGCATTATTATAAATGAATTTTATATTTGTATGTTACAGATAACTAGCTTCGATAACAACAATTCCGCTGTTGCGCATCAGTGCCGGTGAGTGAAAAAAACTTTTATTTAACTTTAAGGTAACGGATTCGTAGAAATTGTAGATATAAATGTAGATCATAAATAAATCCGTTGCCTTAAAATGGATGAGCTAGAATGGATTAAATTAAATAAATTAAATTAAATAATTAAATTAAATTAATTAAATTAAATAATTTTAGTAAGTCCTCTCTAACTTATGCTTTACATCTATTGCGAAAATATATTAAAATATTAAAAAATATTAAAAAAAGAAGGGATCAAGGAAAGATTTTTTTGTAAAGATTTTGTTTAATTTGTTAAATAAAGGACACCTATTAACAATTATCAATTTTCTCAATTTTTGATGCTAATTTATTCTTATAATGCGCTCTTATTTTCTAATTGCTCATAGCTCATCCATCGTAGAATTTATTTGTAGATATTGTTTTTAAACTTTATTTTAACTTAACATAAAGCCAAATGATTAATTAATTAAATAATTTGTAATATGATAAATACACACATTAATTTTATATTTTATTATAAAATATAATTTATAGAAATTTGTAGTAATTTGGCTTTATTTCAATTAAAATAAAGTTATATTCAATATTTAACGGACGATCGTGAAATCGAACGATCGTGAAATCGAACGATCGTTACTAAATGAGCGTAAATATTTCACGTTCTTTTGTCAGTAATTATCCGAAGGAGTAATTATCCTTTTTCGATCTCTGATCAGAGATCGAGAAAGAAAGTGGTCAGGATCAACGAAAGGTAGATTCAACTGACCTGAAGAGTACAGTTAGGGTACGCGGTTAGAATGATAAGTAAAAAAAAATCGATGATGATGAGTAAAATAAAAATTGATGATGATGAGCAAAATAAAAATTGATGATAATGAGTAAAATAAAAATCGAAGATGATGAGCAAAATAAAAATCGATGATGATGAGTAAAATAAAAATAAGTTGTAATGAGTAAAATAAAAATCCATCAAGAAAAGAATGAGTAAAATAAAAATCGAGGAGGAGGAGGAGGAGGAGCAAAATAAAAATCGAGGAGGAGGAGGAGGAAGAGGAGCAAAATAAAAATCGATGATGATGAGTAAAAGAAAAATCGATGATGATGGGTAAAATAAAAATCGATGATGATGAGTAAAATAAAAATAAGTTGTAATGAGTAAAATAAAAATCCGTCAAAAAAAGAATGAGTAAAATAAAAATCGAGGAGGAGGAGGAGGAGCAGCAAAATAAAAATCGAGGAGGAGGAGGAGGAGGAGAAGGAGCAAAATGAAAATCGAGGAGGAGGAGGAGGAAGAGGAGGAGAAGGAGCAAAATAAAAATCGTGGAGGAGGAGGAGGAGAAGGAGGAGGAGTAAAATATAGTATTTATAGTTAAATATAGTATTTATAATATATATATAAAATATTAGTAATATGATGATGAGTAAAATAAAAATCGATGATTAGGGCTCACGGTTAGGGCACGCAGTTAGGGCACGTAACTACAATATATACATGTATTTCGGAAAATGAATATTGTAGAAGGTAAATTATCTAAATTGCAATATAGAACAATAAATAATAAAACCAACAGTAAGTACGTTATAATATGATATATATAACATATAAATTTATATGTATCATATTGTATTGTTTACTGCAAATTAAAAAAGACGAGAAGGGAAAATTAATTATTTTTCAAGGATGTGAAAAGATTGTACCATTCAAACTGATAGAAAGTATAAACTATAAAAAAATTGTTGAAGTATTATGCATCGTATTATGTGTCGTATAATTCGGAAAATGTACACTGTAATCGCAAAAATAAAATAAAATGACACAAGCATCAGAATGAATATAACATTGAACATCTAAAAAAAACCACAATATAGGTCTAATAATCATATGTAAGACAAGACAGATGAAAAATAACTGGAAATTAGATGTTTTTAAATTAGTTGTTCTATCTGTAAGTTATAAAAACAATGTTATCCTCGAATCTTTAATTGCTTAAACATTTTTGGATATTATAAATAATATTAAGATATTAGAAGTTTACGTTTCATTGAATGACCGATTACAATCATCAATATTACCGAAGATCTAGCGTGTAAGATTTATTTTTAATTTTGATTGCTGACAATATTATTCCACTGATGTAACGTTGTTTGGATTTTCTCTTCTCATGAGCTTGAGAATCCTGTCGTATACGAGTTTTGACGTATCTTTAGCCCACATAAAATCCACATGATTGAATTTGGACCACGGCACTTCGTACATATCCACTACATTTGGCAGTGAATGGTATAATCTTTTCACATCCTTGAAGAAATATTTTTGTGAGCTATCGTATGCGATTTCTTTTAAATTACTTCCCCAATCAAGTAATTTAAAATTTGAATTATATATAATCAAGTTTCCTTACTATTTACAATTCCGTTATTTAAATAAATACCTATTTTCCATTGCGTACCTCTGTGCTGATTATCCAGTCATTATCGGCGTAAAACAACGCGACTGGTACTGCAATATTCGATAAATCATAATTCGGTGGTTCTGTAGAATGATAGATCAACAGATTTTTCACGCGACCGTAATCGTATTTCCGAAACTTGTCCGACTCAATTACTTGAGCGAAATGCAGTATCGTTTTAGCCGAGGCGCCGGCCGGATGGTGATTGAAGATGACAGGCAGCAGAGACTATAACAATAAATAGGAAACAATAATGATATATGCGCGAAGTTCGATCTTCGAAGCGTGATCGCGCGATCGTGAAATGATGGGATGCGATGATCGAAAATTCGATCGGAGTTGTATTTCGGCTGTAAATCATTACTTACATAATTAAACTGCTCGCGATCATCACCATAGATCATAAATATCAAATTGGCACAGATATTTGGGACAATGTTCTGATTGCAGATGTTTTTCAAAAGAAATTTCACAAAGTCGCTTTGGAAAAATTCATTTTCGAAGAACAATCTCATCGGTATCTGCAATTGAAAATCTCTTAATCGTGAAATAATTTACTTGCAATTCTTCTTTCTTCGAGAGTTTAACGAAAATGAATTAATAAATTTTTAACAAATTTTTTTAACAATTTAAATTAATATTAATAAAAGCTTTAAGAGATATTTTAATTTCAACTTGTCCAAAGTATCTTAAAATTGAAACCAAAAATTGAATATGTTCAGAAAACAAACATGAAAAAAGATGTAAATTTGTTAATGTTTAGAATTAAAATTATCGAAAATTTTGTAAAAAAAAGAATCTATTACATTTCTAATTTATATTTCATCGTAATAGACAATGAAATATAAATTAGGAATGCAATAGATTCCTTTTTTTATAAAATTTTCGAAGATTTTAATACTTTTTTTCTATTTTACCAGGAATTTGTTTCTTTCTGATTGATAAAATACGAATTGAAATAGTACATTAAGTCAATAACATAAAAAACATAAGCAATAAATGAGCACATCGATCAATCACAGTCTAGAATTTTTTTATGAATCAATTATTAGATTTAAGTAGCTAATCAGCAATATCAGTTTGATTGTTACTAACATTATATTGTTTATATTATTTTATGCGCCATAACATTTAACTTCTAACACCATTAACATTATTTTTCATTCTTCAGATAACAGTTTACAAACTTTATCTGTAACGCAAAAAGTATAAAAATGTACTTTATTTTTTTCATACTAGTTAAACTGTTATTACGTGATAATAACTTATATATCCTTTAACACATATATCACCATTATATTACTTTACCTCTAATTCCCTTATAAATGGGAAGAAATATCGAATCGGACTCTTCATATTTATAAAGACTGTTGGCGCGAGACCGATCATCATTTGCACCATTTGAGCGATTTTCGGACGTTCTGATGCCATTACAAAGAAAGTAGATGTGCCCATAGAATGACCAATATATGTGTGCAATGGTTGGGATCTCATATTCGTGATAAATGTAATCATCGCGGGTAAATCATAGATGCCCATTTCGTGAAAGCTAATGAAAAATTCATTCGATACACATGAAATATATAAATATGCATACGATCACACATATACAGAGAAAAGAAATATAATTTGCATACATATATAGTATATAATATATAAAGTGTTGTGTAAAAGCAGAAATTAAAATTCTGCATAAAGAATGATTAAACTAAGAATCAAGAAAAAATAGCAAATGTATTATATTGGCATAAGAAGCGAGATATTTTGAAAACAATGCATTTTCGAAAATATAAATAAATATACAGGGCGATCCCGAAAAACCTTCCGTCTTTAAAATGACGTATTCCTGACACTATTCTAAGACAATTTTTTCTTTAGCAAAATTTGATTTGAAGCGTAGTTTTTGAGTTATAAGCAGAAATAGTTAGTAAATCACGCGTCGGGTACAGAAGGCAGGCAGGGGCGGCCCGGCGCGCCGCGAGCGCGGGCGCAGCTGATCGCCCGACAAGCGATTATCACTGCATGAGTCACTAACTATTTTATCTTATAACATAAAATTATGCTTTAAATAAAATTTTGGTAAAGAAGAAAATGTCTTAGAATTACATCAGGAATACGTGTTCCTTAAAATAATGTTAATTATTAAAAGTTATTCCGGATCGCCGACCGTCGAACGCTGTAATCAGCTGATTGCTACATGCGATGTGTGTATGGCGGAGTGTGCGTAAAAGAGAGAGAGAGAGAGAGAGAGAGAGAGAGAGAGAGAGAGAGAGAGAAAGAGAGAGAGAGAGAGAGAAAGAGAAAGAGAGAGAGAGAGAGAGAGAGGGAGGAAGGGTAAAAGGGACAGACATTCATACACACGCACGCACGTACGCATACACTTTTTTCTCTCTCTCTTTTACAACACTCTGTCATTTAGTCACTCATTCTCTCACTCACTCACTCACTTACTCTGCTTACTTATTGCTCACTCACCTGGTAGCAGCGTAGCGAATCTTCATGCTACGTATTGTTGTAACTGCTGCACGATTATTAGATCGCTGCACCGCTGATTGTTAGAGATGCGCGGCACATCGAAACTTTCTCACTTCGAAACACTCTTACACTCGATTGACACAGATTACGCGATAACGAGTTTACTGTTTATTACTCACTCGATTCCCATCGTTTTATCGAGACTTAAAATTACTTTAAAAGAAACGCGAATGCGAGAGAACACATGACTCGACGCGAAGCGACGGACCGCGGAGACTGCGCGACCACGAGGGTTATGTGTTGCCAGAAACGCGACACGCGACATCTAACAATAAACGCCTTGCGCGTGGCGCGTGATTGACGCGAGATAAGACGAACAATCGGCTAAAACCTTCTCACCCTTACCCTTCCTCCCCCTCTCTCTCTCTCTCTCTCTCTCTCTTTCTCTCTCTCTCTCTCTCTCTTTTACGCACACACTCCACCATACACACATCGCATGTAGCAATCAGCTGATTACAGCGTTCGACGGTCGGCGATCCGGAATAACTTTTAATAATTAACATTATTTTAAGGAACACGTATTCCTGATGTAATTCTAAGACATTTTCTTCTTTAAAATTTTATTTAAAGCATAATTTTATGTTATAAGATAAAATAGTTAGTGACTCATGCAGTGGTAATCGCCTGTCGGGCGATCAGCTGCGCCCGCGTTCACGGCGCGCCGGGCCGCCCCTGCCTGCCTCCTGTACTCGACGCGTGATTTACTAACTATTTTTGCTTATAACTCAAAAACTACGCTTCAAATCAAATTTTGGTAAAGAAAAAATTGTCTTAGAATAGTGTCAGGAATACGTCATTTTAAAGACGAAAGGTTTTTCGGGATCGCCCTGTATATACAGAGTGGGGCATTTATAGTGACACAAGCAATTTTTTCGAAAACGAAGCGAGATATAAAAAAATGTTATATATACAGAGTCCCAGTTATCTCCCGTCATCTTTCAAAGACAGATTTCTGGAATCATTTGAAGACGATTTTTCCTCAGAAAATGTCAACAAAGGCCATCATTTTTTGTATGTTTCCGCTTTTTGTTATCATATATCTTTAATTTCTTTCAATTAATTTCTTTCAATTAATTTCATTTAATTTCTTTAATTTCTTTTAATTAAGTCTTAAAAAGTCTTATAAAACTCAACTAAAGTAAACTCTATTTAAAATTAATCGAAGAATGTGGTTTTGTTAATATTTTATTTCTACAAAGCTTAGTTTACGAAAAACCCCTTATTTCCAATCACTTATAATTTGAAAATTATTAGTGCCTCGACATTGTTGTTGAGGAAAAATTGTCTTTAGATGTTCGTCCCAGGAATCTGTCTTTGAAAGATGACGGAAGATAATTGGGACACCCTGTTTATATATATATATATATATATATATATATATATATATATATATATATATAATAAGTTAAACAGATCCTTCCGTCAAATTAAAACAAATATGGTAAAAACTTATTTTATTTTTATAACACCATTATTCCTATTTTGTTCTAGTATTTTATTTTGTATCATTTTATACCTGAAATTCCAAAATGTCGAATTCAAAGGAGACAGGGAAATATGCGCCTTCGAGTATGTATTACCTCGAAAATTTCCCAACCAAACATCGTATCCTTGATCCGCTAATAGGTAAGCTAAAATTGAAAAAAATATTGTGTATTTTTTACAATATTTATCATATTACTTACAATTTCATGTATCATACATATAACATGAACTTTTAATTTTTTTTGGCATTTTTGCGATAGAAAGAAATTAGTTATATGATAACGGTTGTGCGATACATGTATGAGTTTATTAATTGACGATCATACCGAGTGCTTTGTCTTTGCCAAGAACAATCCATTCAGCGGATGTGGCTAAAATACCGTGCTGCAGCAGCACAGGTAAAGAATCGTTGCCACCTGGGATACGATGTAACGTCAAGAGATAGCCGTCTTCCGTCATTACAACGTGAGATTCCACGGGATAACCTGCTTTTATTATCGTTTTAGGCTGAAAAAAGTCTGTGTAAGAAAGAGGAAAAACTGATCTGAACTTAAAATAAATTTGAGCAACGAGAAATGCATAATATATTTATTTTCATAGGCATAGGCATGCAACCATACATATTTCACGTTTTTATACATTTAAAAAAAATAAAAGAAATTTAACGTTAATTGGGCAGTATTAATAATGAAATATTAAATCAACTCTCCGAAAGCAACAAACATATAAAATAATAATAATATATAATAAAAAAAAAAAAAAAAAACAAACATATAAAATAAAATAATAATATATAAAAATACTATTCTATGTATTTTTAAAGACTATGATATAATTAATATAATTAAATTATATTAATATAATTAATATAATTTTGCGGAACTGTGCGATTTTTGTTCTGAATAAGAGAACGCGGCTAGTAACGGCAGATTACTTTTTATCACATTCAACAACATTGAAGAAATTAATCGAAACACTAAAGATTTTAATCCTCGTTTCTATGAATGAAAACTTTCATTACCGTGTCGAGAAATGAATCAGGATTGAATTCGATGTTGAACTGATTCCAATTAGTCCATATTATTCTCCTAATGAGCGTACTTATCTCAGAGATCACATTTATCGGGGCCGCATTAAGATGACTACAAAACAGGAAATACATGAGACCGATCAATTTCATTTCAATGAATGATTCAATAAACAATGAAAAAAAACGAATAATTGAGAGTTTTTCAAAGTATCGAGATATATGTCGTTGAAAATAAAGCAGAACACGTGAAAACGATGTAGATGCTACATCGCGACACAGATACTAACTATTTTTTCCACGTTGCGTACCATTATATTAGAATGAATCGTCATTTTATTTATGACTATTTTTTATCAGAAAAGAAAAGAGGAAGAAAAAAGAAGAATAGAAAAGAAGAATAAAAAAAGAGATAATTATGAACTTTATGGATGACATCACCGATTCATTTTAATGACCTTGACATATGTTGTCAAGCTCACTCTCCCGAGTATGTGTCAAAAGGTTTTAAGCGTCGCTTACTATTAAAAAGTTCATTAAAAAGTTATTAACGAAAACAGTTTAATGAATGTAATATGATTTTGCCACAGCATGTATATACGTTTAAGAAGGTATATTTCATGGAATATATGTTTAATAAATGGCGAAGGTCATCATTAAATGTAGAGTAACTCTTGTGTTGCAAAGTACATGCTTAGAGACAGTGGGTTCCGCCCCCCCCCCTTCAAAAGCTATAACTTAATCCAAACCTATTTCTGATTTAAAATTAAAATTTAAAATTAAAATTTGGTTTAAATCAGAATAGATTAGGTTATATCTTCCGGAAATGGAGCCTCCACCGTAGGGGGGCGGAACATACCGTATCCACGCATGTACATTTCACCTTGATTCCTGAAACGTACATAATGTCTAAAAATTGCACATAATTCGAAAAACTTTTTTGTTAATAATTTTTTAATAAATAGTGAGCGACACTTAAAACCTTTTGATACTTATTCAGGAGAGTGAGCTTGACAACATACGTCAAGATCATTGAAATCGGTGAGATTGTCCGTAAAGTGCATGATTACCGAAAGAGATATTATTGTATTATTAATAATACGAGCACAAAGGCATTTTGAAAAAAATAAAAATTTATATGTAAGCAATTATCCTTGTCCTCAATATGTGTACATACAGGATGGCCAAATGAAAAGGCAAGAAAATAGTAAAATGCGTAAAATTAAATTATAAAGTAAATGTGAAATTAACGTAAAATTAAATCATGATAAAGAATTATTGTGATCTAAGCGAGAAATATATCGTAAGTCAGAGTGGAAAGCGTTTGTCAATTCGATTTTGTAGAGAGAAGTCGTACCTTTCGGTTTTTCTTCTAAATAGAGATTCTTAAAGGAAAATTGTCGTGATAGAAAAAGTAGTCCCATCACATATAAATGCAAAAGAAATCTTCTTGTTTTCGAATATCGAGCCAATAAATTCGTTAAGTGTTTGATTATTACTATTATTTATCATTGCTACGTTGTTGGGGATAATATTTTGCATACATTTATCCTGGCTTTCGAGAAAACAACATTTGTTTCGAAAGCAAGAAAGGAGTCTCCAACTCAAAATACATTGCCTTTTCCTGTTACTGGCAACATGTCATATTTAAATGTAAATGTTATTGCTTATGTATACAAGAGATAAACTGCAAAATTTATAGCATAAAATAAAAGACGCGTATATATGAGGAATAAATTACTTTTAATCCTTGGATTCGACTTTTATCTATTGTTCGAAAAATTTGTTGTTAGTTCTTATCTTGCTTTTTATCTGTTTTGCAATTTTCGAAAACTTCTGCCAAAATCAAATATATGTGTACAGGGTGTTTCATCAACATACAGCTCAATACGACGGGTTCTCTCATAGAAGCGCAAGAAAAATAAGAAAAAACTTAAACTTAATATAACTCTTAACATTATATCAATAATCCTCACACATATATATATATATGATTGCAATAATATTATATTATTATAATAATAATATTACAATATTATAATATTATTGCAATCATATGTAGGTGAGGATTATTGATATATAATATTAAAAGTTATATTATAATAATAATAATATTATAATATTATAAACATTCTTATAAATATATACTTTCAAATATTCATGTCACAAGTTCACTATTCTGTGCAATTTAATTTTTTCTTCTAACAGCTTATTACGCGTTGATAGCGTGACGGCTATACGAGTACTTCGTCGAAAATGTACGCGAGTAATCTGTATTACCTATTCCTGCATTACCGGTCTTGCGCTTTTATGAGCAGGCAACCCGTCGTATTGAGCTGTATGTTGACGAAACACCCTGTACATTTTATATAAAAAATATATATATGTATATATATATATATATATATATATATATATATTCTATATAAAATTACATATACATTTACTCGATTATATTCGAACTATTTTTTGCAACAACAAATTCGAATGTTTCGTATTACTGCTGTTATAATTATGCAAAGGTAAATCGATATGCATATGTGTGATAAATCGCAAAAAAAAATTTAAAAATTATAAATTCATATAAATAAATAAATAAAACATATATATAAAATATATTTAAATTTAAAAGAAATAAAATATATATAAAATATATTATTTATATAAATAAATAAAATATAAATTCATATAACTTTTCGCCTAAATTTCAGTTTTGAATTAAAAAGCGGCAATCGTTTTTCAAGCATTTCTTGACAGTATTGAAGGAAACTAAGGGAAATAGAAATTTTAGTTCTCATTTCAATGAGTTATAAAGATACGCTTACCGTTTTGAGAATAGAGATTTTAATGTTGTTCGCTCAAATCCACTTAATTCAAGATATTTTCTTGCTCTTGGCTCGAGTTTAATAACATTTAGCAGCGCTGAATCGGCATGACTGCAATATGTCACTAAATACATATACACGATCAATCTCATAGCATCGATCGATAGAATGATTCAATAAAAAATTTTAAAAATGAACGATATAAGAATTTTGCGACGTATTATCGAAGAAAATAAGTATAAAAGTAAAAGTGAGGTAAATACGACTGCTCATAATAATTAATTATTTAATGTTAGGTTATGTTACAATAAATCTTCATTTTAATTCATCTTATTTAATGTTAGATTATGTTACAATAAATCTTCATTTTATTAACGATTTTCTTTTATTAGCGATGAAGGAAGTTAAGAAATAATATTATCGTCTTAGCCATACAATCATAACGTATTTCCAAAAATATATACATATTGTAGAAAATAAATCACCGAAATTGCAACATATGTTATATAACATTATACTATCAGTAAGTACATTCCGATATAATATATATAACATATAAATTTATTTGTATGATATTGTATTGTTTATTGCAAATTAAAAAAAAAACGAGAAAATTAATTATTTTTATTACAAACAGATATAAAGTATTTAAAAAAATCGCTAAAGGATTATGCATCATATTATGTGTCGCATAATTTGGAAAATGTACACCGTAATCGCAATAATAAAATTAAATGACTCCAACACGAGAATGAATATAACATTGAATATCTAAAGAAACCACAACATTGGTCTAATAATCATATATAAGACAAGACAGATAAAAAATAACTAAAAATTAGATGTTTTTAAATTAGTTGTCCCATCTGTAAGTTATAAAAACAATGTTGCTCCCGAATCTTTAAACGCTTAATAAACATTTTTGGATATTGTAAATAATATTAAGATATTAGAAGTTTACGTTAAATGAACGATTAGAATCATCAATATTACCGAAGATCTAGCGTGCAACATTTATCTTTAATTTTGATTGCTGACAATATTATTCCACTGATGTAACGTTGTTTGGATTTTCTCTTCTCATGATCTTGAGAATCCTGTCGTATACGAGTTTTGACGCATCTTTAGCCCACATAAAATCCGCATGATTGAATTTGGACCACGGCACTCCGTACATATCCACTACATTTGGCAGTGAATGGTATAATCTTTTCACATCCTTGAAGAAATATTTTTGTGAGCTATCGTATGCGATTTCTTTTAAATTACTTCCCCAATCAAGTAATTTAAAATTTGAATTATATATAATCAAGTTTCCTTACTATTTACAATTCCGTTATTTAAATAAATACCTATTTTCCATTGCGTACCTCTGTGCTGATTATCCAGTCATTATCGGCGTAAAACAACGCGACTGGTACTGCAATATTCGATAAATCATAATTCGGTGGTTCTGTAGAATTATAGATCAACAGATTTTTCACGCGACCATAATCGTATTTGCGAAACTTGGCCGATTCAAATATTTGGGCGTAATGAAGTAGCGTTTTAGCCGAGGTGCCGGCCGGGGTGTGACTCAGAATGACAGGCAGCAGGGACTATAATAATAAATAGAAAATAATAATGAAATATACAAGAAGTTCGAAGTGAAGCGTGATTGTGAAATGACGGAATGCGATGATCGAAGATTCGATCGGAATTGTATGTCAATTGTAAATCATTACTTACGTAGCTAAACTGCTCGTGATCATCACCATAGATCATAAACAGAAAATTGGAGCAGATCTCTTCAAGACTAATATTCTGGTCGCAGATGTTTTCCGCGAGAAATTTCACCAAGTCGCTTTGAAGGAATTCATCGTGGAAGAACAATCGCATTACTGTCTGTAATTGAAAATCTTTTAATCATTATATAATTCAATTGTAATTTTTCTTTGAGAGTTTGAAACTTTTAAGGATTTTAGAAATGAATTAATAAATTTTTAACAAATTTTTTTAACAATTTAAATTAACTTTAATAAATGTTTTAAGAGATATTTTAATTTTAACTCGTCGAAGATATCTTCTTAAAATTGAAATCAAAACTTGAATATGTACAATATAGAGAAACATGAAAAAAGTAAATTTGTAAACGTTTAGAATTAAAATTTTCGAAAATTTTATAAAGAAAGAATCTGTTGCACTTATAATTTATATTTTATTACATAAGACATATCTTCTTTTTCTTATTTTACCAGGAATTTGTTTGCCAGGAATTTGCATTCTGATTGATGAAAATAAGAATTGAGAAATAGTACATTAAATTAATAACATATAAAAAAGCATGAGCAATAAATGTGCACATCGATTAATCACAGTCTAATATTTTTTTGTGAAACGCTTATTCGATTTAAGTAGCTAATCAGTAATATCAATTTGATTATTACTAACATTATATTACTTATATTTTTTTTATATGCCATAACATTTACTTCTAATGCCGTTAACATTATTTTTCCTTTTTCAGATAACAGTTTACAAATTTTATCTGTAAAATAAAAGTACAAAAATGTGCTTTATTTTTTCATACTGTTTAAACTTTGTTATTACGTGAAATGGTTAAACTTGGTTATTACGTGATAATAAATTATATTCCGTGTAGAAAATTATTGATGCTAGTACATGAAATGAAATACTATTGACCACGATAAAGAATTTTAATGTTAAATTAACAGAAGGCAAGTATGTAAATAAATAACATAAGTAATATGTTTAAAAATTAACACAAAAGTGTAACACTTAAACTTTATCCGGAAATGAAGTTTATGTTAAATTAACATATTTATCATGTTAAATTTAATTAAAAGAAAATGTTATTCTTACATTTTTATGATCAATAATAGAAGAGATATGTCGATTTAACATATGGAAACTGTTATAGAGTTAAAAATAATACAACTTATCTGTTCATTTTAACATATATTTCATCAAAAATTTGTGGATTTACATATTAATTGTGTTGTTTTAAGACTCTTAGAAACGGTGAATATTAACTCAACGCAGAAATGTCAAAATAACGCAATGATAATATGTTATATTAACTATTAAGAGTATATTAAAAATTTAACATAAAAATTTTTATATACGAGAAAATTTTAACAGAAATACAAAATGTTTTTTACCGTGTAGGGTCCAAGCGTTCTATACCTACATCTACAGAAAAGATTTCTAAATTTAATGCTATCACACTTCAATCTATCATAAAATAAGATCGATATAGTGACAATCATATTTTTTATTAAAAAAAGAATATTTTAATCTTAAATGGAAAATTCTTAAATCTAGAATGAAATGATCCTGACATTGCAAAAGATGATAGACGCATATCAGTTTCGCGCAACTACTGACGCAAATATCAAATTATTCTAAGTGCAAGAATATATAGCTTAGATTTCTTTATATTATTCTTGTTTTCAGATTATAAAGACAATCTTATTTAATTCGAGAGAGAAAAATAAAAATTATTATTTTAGTTTTAAAATTGTTTCATTTTTATACTACATAAGATTATGACCGGATTAACTGTGTCAAGAATATTTTTCGTCTTGTTAGAAGAAATCCTTTCTGAGAATATAATAGAGCCCAGTCGATTTTAAGGCATATTAATTAAGTCCTTTTTAAAAAAAGGTTCCTTATTACTTTTTCTACACGGGATATCTTTTAACAGTATCCATTATATACTTTACCTTAAGCACACTACTAAATGGGATCAAGTATTGTATTGGACTCTGCATGTGATTTAGAAAGACGGCTGGCGCCAGACCGACCATCATTTGCACCATTTGAGCGATTTTCGGACGTTCTGATGCCATTATAAAAAAAACTAGTTGTGCCCATAGAATGACCAATATATGTGTGCAATGGTTGGGATCTCATATTGGTGATAAATGTAATCATCGCGGGTAAATCATAGATGCCCATTTCATGAAAGCTAATGAAAAATTTATTCGATACACATGAAATATATAAATATGCATACGATCACACATATACAGAGAAAATAAATATAATTTGCATACATATATAGTATATAATATATAAAGTGTTATGTAAAAACAGAAATTAAAATTCTGCACAAAGAATGATTAAACTAAGAATCAAGAAAAAATAGCAAATGTATTATATTGGCATAAGAAGCAAGATATTTTGAAAACAATGCATTTTTGAAAATATAAATAAATATATATACAGGGTGGAGCATTTATAGTGACACAAGCAATTTTTTTCGAAAACGAAGCGAGATATAAAAAAATATTATATATACAGGGTGTCCCAGTTATCTTCCGTCATCTTTCAAAGACAGATTCCTGGAATCATTTGAAGACGACTTTTCCTCAGAAAATGTCAACAAAAGCCATCAATTTTTGCATGTTCCCGATTTTTGTCATCATATATCTTTGCAATTAAGTCTTAATATAAAACTCAACTAAAATAAACTCTATTTAAAATTAATCGAAGAATGTGGTTTTGTTAATATTTTATTTCTACAAAGCTTAGTTTACGAAAAACCCCATATTTCCAATCACTTATAATTCGAAAATTATTAGCCTCGACATTTTTGTTGAGGAAAAATCGTCTTCAGATATTCGTCCCAGGAATCTGTGTTTGAAAGATGACGGAAAATAACTGGGACACCCTGTATATATATACATATATGCATATAATAAGTTAAACAAATCCTTCCGTCAAATTAAAATAAATATTGCAAAAATTATTATTTTATTTTTATAGCATCATTACTCTTATTTTATGCTAGTATTTTATATTATATTATTTTATACCTGAAATTCCAAAATGTCGTATTCAAAGGAGACAGGAAAATATGCGCCTTCGAGTATGTATTACCTCGAAAATTACCCAACCAAACATCGTATCCCTGATCCGCTAATAAGTAAGCTAAAGTAAACATAAATATTGTATGTGTATTTATGATATTACTTACATTTTTATATCTCATATTATAACACAAACATTCAAATTTTTTGGCATTGTTGCGATAAAAACGAAATTAATGATATGATAACAGTTTTGTGATACATGTATGAATTCAAAAATCGATTGACGATCATACCGAATGCTTTGCCTTTGCCAAGAACAACCCAGTCAGCGGAGCTGCAGAAAAGACCATGCTGCACCAGCACGGGTAAAGAATCATTGCCACCTGGGATACGATGTAACGTCAAGAGATAGCCATCCTCCGTCATTACAACGTGAGATTCCGCGGGATAACCCGCTTTTCTGATCATCTCCGGCTGAAAAAGGACTTTGTAAGAAATAGGAAAAAATTATCTGGGAATAAATTCGAGCAACAAGAAATACATAATATATTTCTTTTTATAGGCATATGCATGCAGACATATATATTTCACGTTATTTTTCGTTTTAAAATAATGAAAGAAGAGAAATTTAATATTAATTGAACAGTATTAATAATTGAATATTAAATCAATTCTTCACACAAAAGCAACAAAAAAATATAAAAATACTCTTATATGTATTTTTAAAGATTATAATTAGTATAATTTTGCGGAACTATGCGATTTTCGTCTTGAATAAGAGAACGCGGCCAGTAACAGCAGATTACTTTTTATCACTTTCAACATTTAAGAAATTAATCGAATCGAGAATTAAAGAATTTAATCCTCGTTTTTTTATGAATGAAAACTTTCATTTACCGTATCGAGGATAGAATCAGTATTAAATTCGATTTTCGACTCATTCCAATTAGTCCATATTATTCTCCTAATGAGCACACTTATCTCAGAGGTCACATTTATCGGGGCCGCACTAAGATGACTACAAAACGGCAGCAAATACATAAGCCCGATCAATTTCATTTCGAAGAATAATTCAATAAACAGTAAAAGGAAACGGATAATTCGAGAGTTTTTTCGAGATATCGAGATATGTCGTAGAAAATAGAGTAGAACACGCGAAAGCGATATAGGTACTACTGCGCGACATAGATACTAACTGCTATTTACGCTGCGTACCATCATATTAGAATGAATCGTCATTTTATTATGCTTATTTTTATTAGCTAGAAAAAAAAGAATAAGAAAAAGATATTATTGTATTATTAATGAGTACAAAGGCATTTCGCAAAAAATATAAATTTATATGTAGCAGTTGTCCTTGTCCTCAATATTTGTACATATAGGATGACCAAATGATAAAGACGGAAGAGTAATAAAATGCGTAAAATTAAATTATAAAATAAATGTAAAATTAACGTAAAATTAAATTATGAGATAAAGATTTATTGCGATCTAAGCGAGAAATATATCGTGAGTCAGAGTGGAAAGCAGTTGTCGATCCGATTTTGTAGAGAGGAATCGTCCCTTTCACTCTTCTTCTAAATGGAGAAAAAATTGCCGTGATAGACAAAATAGTCCCGTCATATATAAATGCAAATTGGATCTTCTTCTTCCCGAATATCGAGCCAATTAACTCGTTACGTGTTCGATTATTATTCTTATTTATCGTTGCAATATTGATGGAAATAATATTTTGCATACTTTTATCCTGACTTTCGGGGAAAACAACATTTATTTCGAAGCAAAGAAAGGTGTTTCCTCTAAATAAGAAACTTAAAATAAAAAGTACTGAATAATTAATACATTGCTCTCCTCTGTTACTGGCAACATGTCATATTAAAATTTAAATGTTATAGCTCATGTATACAAAATAAGTTGCCAAATTTACAACATAAAGTAAAAAACACGTATAAATGTGGACTAAATTATTTTTAATCCATTTTTAATGGATTGAACATTTATTTACTGTTCGAAAAATCTGCTGGTAATTCTTATCGCGCTTTTCGTTTTATTGCAATTTTCGAAAACTTCTGTCATAATCAAATATATATGTACATTTCATGTGTATAGAATGTCGTAATATTCTACATTTCATGTAGAATATATGTATATATATATATATATGTATATATATATATTTTTTTTTTTTAATTTTATATATATATATATATATATATATATATTATTAGTAATATTATTAATATATATTATATGTTTATATTTTAAATAAAATACGTAAACGTTTACTCTATTATATTCGAACAGTTTTTTTTCACAACCAATTCGAATGATTGGTGTTATTGCCATCGTAATTACACAAAAATAGATCAATATGAATATGTATGATAAATTGCAAAAAAAATCGCTTTAAGAATTATATAAATTCATTTAACTTTCCATCTAAATTTCAGTTTCGAATTAAAAAGCGACGTTTTCAAGCATTTTTTCAGCTTTGGATATTAAGAAAAATCAATACTTTAGTTCTAATTTTAAGATTAGTTTTTGGTTTAGGTTAAGTTAGGTTAAGTTAGAATAAGATTATATTATATATTGTAAGAGATTGAAACCCTGAGGGGAACAATAAAATTCATACAAACAATACTTTAGTTCTAATTTCCATGAGTTATAAATAAGTTATAATTTCCATAAGTTATAAATAAGTTATAATTTCCATAAGTTATACATTTATCATTTTGAGAATTACATAGAGATTTTAATGTTTTTCGATTAAATCCATTAATTCAAAATAATCTCTTGCACTTGGCTCAAGTGTAATAACATTTGCCAGCGCTGAATCGGAATGACCGCAAAATGTCACACTAAATACATATGTACAATCCCGATCAATCTCATCGATCGATAGAGTGATTGAAATAAAATTTGAAAAATAAAAAATTTAAAGAATAAAAAATTTTAAAAATGAACGATGTAAGAATTTTGCGACTTTATTGCCGAAGAAAATAAGTATAAAAGTAAAAGTAAGATAAATTACAGCTGCTCGTAATAGTTAATTATTTAATGTTACAACAAATCTTTATTTTATGAACGAGTTTTTTTCATTAACTCTGAAAGAAAGAAAGAAATAATATTATTGTCTTATCAGCACTGAATCGGAATGACTGATATGTCACTAAATACATATACACGATCAATCTCATAGGATCGGTCGATAAAGTGATTCTATAAAAAATTTAAAAAATGGACGATGTAATAATTTTGCAACGCATTATCGAAGAAAAATAAGTATAAAAGTAAAAAAGTTAAACACAATGGCTCATAATCATTAATTAATTAACATTATAATAAATCTTCATTTTATTAACGATTTTCTTTTATTATCGATGAGGAAATTAAAGAAATAATATTATCGTCTTATTAGCCATACAATCATAACGTATTTCGGAAAATGCATATTGCAGAAGGTAAGTTGCCGAAATTGCAATATAGAACAATAAAACTAACAGCAAGTACGTTACAATACAATATATACAATATATAAATTTGAGTATAATATTGTTTACTGCAGATTAAAAAAAAGGAGAAAATTAATTAATATTTTGATTTACAAATGCATAGAAAGTGCATAAAAAAAAACTTGCTGAAATATTATGTATTGTATAATTCGAAAAAAGTGTATACTGTAATCGCAAAAATAAAATTAAGTGACTCAAACACCATAATGAATATAATATTAAACATATTAAAAAACCACAACATAGGTCTAATAATCATATATAAGACAAGACAGATGAAAAATAACTGGAAATTAGATGTTTTTAAATTAGTTGTTCCATCTGTAAATTATAAAAACAATGTTGCCTCTCGAATCTTTAAACGCTTAATAAACATTTTTGGATATTGTAAATAATATTAAAATATTAGAAGTTTACGTTTCATTGAATGACCGATTACAATCATCAATATTACCGAAGATCTAGCGTATAAGATTTATCTTTAATTTTGATTGCTGACAATATTATTCCACTGATGTAACGTTGTTTGGATTTTCTCTTCTCATGATCTTGAGAATCTTGTCATATACGAGTTTTGATGCATCTTTAGCCCACATTAAAATCCGCATGATTGAATTTGGACCATGGCACTTCGTACATATCCACTACATTT